TCTCGTCGCTTGCTTATGATAGCAGGCAGACTATACTGTTGTTGAAACTCATCGTTTTAAGGTAGAAGCCAAAATCAATTTATTTACTGGACTAGCCTGGCCGCAAGTCTGGGCTTTTGTGAAGAAACCGAAAGGATTTATTCGTGATTCTTTTCCACAGCCAACATGATGTCTTTTGTGCCTTCTTTACATTTAAAATAGTCTGAGAACTAGTCAGAAATGGGTTCTTGTGTTTCTAAATAGCAGTTAAGTTGAGACTATTGGACTTTTGGAATATATCCAGAAGTCTGCTCTCCTGCACTCCAGGTTATGTGGGGACTTGCAAGTTAGGGCCAACATGAACATTCAGGGTCAGCTTAAGTCCTGTGCTGGACCTGTAAGCTGTCTTGGAACTGACTGTAGTACAAAAACAACCAAGTGCAAGAATCAGCTGGGATTCAGCAGAGAATATTAGGTGTCCGGCTAGATATCCAGCCAATTAAACCAGATTTTCCCATTATTCAAAGTATACTGTCTCTCTTTTTTCCTTTCAATAACGGATACTGACTATTGCAAGTACTATGGATCATACTTTAATTTTCACACATAATTATATGGGAAAAAGACACATAAAGGGGCATTAGGACAGTGTATGGAATAACTTGCTCCTTCCTTTGTGCACCTTTAAAGATGGGCTACAGTTGATTATCTTTTTTTAAATTGTTGTTATTGTTACTTATTCTTAGTTTGCTCATTTTTCTGTGATTGTAGCTTCATCTTTTGAGTTTCAAGAGATGAAGTCTCTGCTTGGGTCAAGAGACCCAAGCAGCTGTTTAAATAGGAAACAGAAAAATGCAATCTGTGTGCTTTTTCAGCTTAGGAGTGAACAGCCTGTGGGTTTTTTTACGCAGAGCTGTACAAACACTATTTTTCTTATTAACGGCCTCACCATTTAATTTAAAGGAACTTACCTTTCTCCGTAGTCAATTCTGTAACCTGGGAATCCTGCTTCTCAAGTCATTCTAGTACCTTCATACATTTTTCTGGTAGAACAAGGTTGGCTTCCGCTTATGTTTCTTAAAAGATCCTCGATGCTGAGATACAGCAATGCGTAAAGAAGGCATATGGTTTACCCAATAAAATATTTTTCTTTTTAACATTACAGTTAAGGAGATAACACCTACGGTTATGCTGAAGTTTCTAGGAGGTCTTTCAACATAGTGGAAGCCAGTGAACTATTAAAAAATACCATTTCTTGCCCTGTTCTTTTTAATTACTAAAGTAAAGTAAGTATTGATAGATATGCAAAAGCTTTAAATAAACTGACAGTCATCTTAATTGCTTCGTCTTGCTTTCCTGTTTCTTTAGTTGTTACAGATGCTGTAAGGCAGATGAGACTTCTTTTTTTCTAATGTAAAAATCAAGCAAAAAGAAGGCATTTGTGCCTTCTTCCAGAAAACGAAATCTTTAAAAATATATCACAGGAAATCAAAAGGGGTATGCGCCTGTTTCTGGTCAGCATGCTTTGACAGTTTAGCTCAATATTTACTCATTCTCTAGTTTTAAAGTTGACTGGAGACTGTTGAGGATAACTACAGTAGGGTTACTTTATTTTCATGGTATGGTGTTGATAGTTTTGAAAAGGCAAATAGTCATTTCAGACTTTTCTTAATATTTTTCTATGGAGAAATACCTAGAATGCTTTTTATTTTGCAGTGTACCCTGGAAACTTAGAGCTTGCAGATTTCTGCTGATTAGCTTCAATATTAATAGCTTGTTTAAAAAGTGCCAATTGCAATGTGGGTGCTGCTGCCACTGAAGCTAGTAATACTATAGAGGTGCATAAAGCTAAGAACCAAGAGGATGAATGCAGTTATTAAAAATATATGATGTTCATTACTTACAGTATTTTTTTCTCTTGTAAGAAATGATAATATCTAAATATTTAGGAGTTAAGTTCTCTTGCATTTAATCTTTTTTTTTTTCCTTCCTCTTTCTTGCAGTAAATATAGCCCTCGCGCTAGCAGCAAATGATTCGGTAGGTGAACATCTAATTATCAGCCTTAATGTAAAACAAGCATGTGAGTCACAAATAAAATGGTTACTGCTGGCAACAGTCATATACGTTAAATCAAAGTATTTATGCTGTCAGTTAATTTCTTTATTTATTTTTCATGGACTTTTGAGTTTGTATTAATTTGTTTGTAGTGTGTCAGTGCCATGAATGATTCAATAGCTCTCATTCTTCATCTGGGTTTGTCTATGCCCTTCCCTTGTGTATCTCTCATTTCAAGTGCAATTCTGTGAGCATGTGTAGACATACTAGAGGATGCTTGTAGAGGTTGGAGACTGTTGGATTTTTATTTATTTTTATGAGCTGCACTATGTCATTGCCCAGCTTGGTACTGCAAAGCTCAAACTGTAGTTTTGACTGCAAACAGGCAGCAGGAACCATTTAAGTGTTAAAAACGAGGGGTCTTTATATTCACCTGATCCTATAAACTGGGAGTAGTTCCATTGTGTCTATTTATTGTCACAAAGGTAAACTCAGAAGCAAGCTTAGGTTCTTCTTTTCCTCTATAAGGTTGTATAAGACAGGATTTGTACCAATAAAGAATTAATTCCAAAAAAGAAATGCAAAATAAAAGTTTTGCCTTTAGAAGAGTATTCTGTAAGGCTATTGTGCAGGTCTTTTGGTATGGTGAAAATTCAAATTTATATATGATCTATCTTGATGCGAGGGCCAGAAGAAATCTAGGCAAAAACAAGTCTTTGAGATGAGGCACTGCTTTACAAATGAAAATAATCTAGGAATACGTTTTGAGTATGGCTTAGGAATTTCATCACATGGCTGACAGTAATGGCGAGTTATTTGGCTGAGTTCTCAAATGACACTTGGAAAATTGTGTTTCATAATTAGTGTTGTATAACATGGAAAGCAATACTTAGAAGTTGGTAGCAAACAAGGTATCCTCAAGTATTCTGACTTGATAAGTGTAGTACCTCTATCTGTGCAAGACAAGTAAAAGTAAACAGCAAGTAGGTGAAGTGATGCATTTTTGCTGCACGCTTCCTGCAGGAATTTTGTAAAAGACGAACATTATTTCCCTAAGATCAATCGTACTTGATAAGAGGAGATTGTTGTAGAAGTTGTATGAAATATGCACTTTTTGTAATAGCATCCGATTTTGATATTTCACAGTTTTTAATTCTGTGTTAAAAGAGTCTGCTGGAGTAATTTAATTTCAGAGAAAAATCTGTCATCTTGAAAAGCAAAACTGCTTGAATGATTCCCTCTAATTAACTTTAAGAGATAGCATTTGCTGTAATACTTTTACAAAGTGACGTACAATCCTGCAAACAGTTCTGTATTGTGGCGTGGTCATTGAGTAGCTCCATGGAAACCATGTGAACTAATTGCAGATAACTTTTCATACCAGTTAAAATGTTTTTTGATTGTGTCTCATACTTTTCATACAAACGGTTTTGTGCTGCCTTTTTGTGTGCGTGTGAAGTACACGAGTTGGGGGTTTTTGCCCCCCCTTTTTTTTTTTAAAGAGTTGAGCATGATATAATATATATGTATAACAAGATATAAATAAAGGCAGTTGAACATGGCGTTAAACATGATAGTGTAACACACCACTTGAGTAGCCCATTAAAACAGTTCTAAGGCACACAAATAAGAGAGATCAAAGTCTAGAATGAAGAAGTTGTTGCTGGAGTCATTTGGAAAGTTGGGGATTGAGAAATACTTTTAAATGAAATTGAGCAAAGTAATATGCTAGTCATTTCTGATGCTAAGTTTACATGGTGGTGTAAAACTGAAGGCCGGACACTGGTGTGGGTGTTAATCAGTGAGGAGCAACTGCAATTGAAAGTGCTGTGAGTTGCATCAACTGACAGCCCAGATCTAGCAAGTTCCTGACATGGTGAAATTGTGCAATGAGGAAACGACAAGGTAAAAAATGTGAAATTAAGGTGAATTGCATAGTCTTAACTAAGTCTCTTTTTTAATGCATGAATATCCATTTTAAATAAAATGATGGCATAAAATAAAATGATAACATGTTTATGTTTAACCTTTGGACTTTACTTTCCTGGTGTTTTCATTTGTGTACTTCTGTTGATGTCAGTTGAAGAGTTTTGTGAGTCAAGATTATGGAATGAATATCTCTTGATATCTTGATCCAGGCTGGGATTGTTCACTGCTGTGAACTATAGGGATCATCATAATGTTTTGCTACAGTGAAATAAAGAGAATGTGATGCAGAGGTCACTGGTGCCTGCTGCTGAAGATTATCATAATTTTCTTTGATCTCAGATATGCAGCATTGGGCCTTTCTGTAATACCGTTATTAACTATTGATTGTGCATCGCCTTCTCATAGTTTTCCTTCCTTTCTTTGGTATCCTATATTCACCGCTTTCTCAGGGAGCAGTAATGATTCTGTAAGTGGATCAGAGTTTCAGAGGCCTCCTGCAAGTTTACTGCAGTCCTTACACCTTCTGTAAACAAACTACAGGATTATAGAAACTGTGATGTTTGAGTTTGGCATACTGGTAAAGCTGGGCCTTTTTAAAGGGGGAAAAATGAGGCTCATGAAGAAAGGTAGGTCACCATGACAATAATGAAGGAATCAAAGCACAAGCTTTTAAGTATTGTCTTTCTGTTACAAGTTCATTGTTTATAATCAGATTTTGAAAGCAAGTAATTTATAGGATCTAAATTATTTCAAAAATTGTCTTATCTTCCAGGTGTTTTTTTTTCCTAAGATAATGTAGGTCAGACTATTGAGGGAAAAAACTGTTTTGTGGTGAGGAGGGTCTATCTGTGGAAGGTGCTTTTAGAGGAGATTGGATTAGAGTAGATTCTGGCAGATTGCAGAAAAGCTGTAACATCTTATTGTTTGGTAGTGTCATACACTGGAAGAAGATTAACAGTCAAAGCACAAAGGAATTTCTTATCCTCTTGTAAAAAGAAATTTTCCTTCCATTTTCTCTTAAAAGTCTATCTACTTTCTATAATCAAGAAAAACCCCACTAAATATTTTTTGAAGTTTTTTGTTTGTATTTTTGTTTTTTAACATGGAAGCTTTTTCAGATATTACAGTGGTGGTCAGAAGTATTAAACCATCGACAGAGCCTCAGACACTGTAACTGGCATACAGTATTGTTGGCACATTCAGGGCTTTCTCTCTCATGCTAGTGATCAGTCTACTTGGCATATTTTTACCCTTGTGGTTAAAGGGTAAATAATTCGGATGGGATTTCATTTAGATACCTAGATACCGTGGATATGATGTCTAAGGCAAAGTGTGTTTTTTTTTTTTTTTTTTTTTTTTTTTCCTTTAATGCAAGGCTAGGGAGACTAGCAGGGCAGCTTCTTATCCTTTTCTGGAACGTGAGACTTTCAGTACCCTGGCTTGCCTGTTTTAGATGGATTAGGTAGCGTTAAGAATTGTGCTAACTCTTGTGTCTGTACCAAGATCTATAAATCTATATGGTTTTCTTTTTGTGTTAAGAAATAACTTAAAATTTTACCCTTGTGTCCTATTTTTAATTGCTTGCTTAGTTTGACAACCAGTTCTTCTAGTTCTTTTGATGTACCAGCAGTCAGTTGCACTCCCCCAGGAGCACTTGAGAAGAATTTTTGGGTTTCATGCCAGGACGATTCATATTCAGACTGGAATGACTATTTATGAAAGCTGCCTGGCCAGAGACAATTTATTATAGTAGAAACAAATTGAATTAATAGATGCCAGCAATAATAGGATAGAGATTGCATGTTTATGAACAGAGTATTTTAGTGAGCAAACACCAGCTGTGCATGACTAAGGATGGCACAAATCCAGTTGGGAGATTGCATGCTTATGCTGTCACTGTGAGGCAAGCTCCCTAGTCAGCTTTCTACTGGCTCTCCGTTTCTTCCTAAGAAGATTTACATTTTTCACTATAGGATGAAATGATTATTGTGGTGTGAAGGACAGAGGAGCAAGAAGCAAACCCATATGGAGCAAATTAGTATGTAAGTATAAGCAAATGCCTTCTGGCTGGAGTAGTCAGACCGTGTGATAAAAGGCAAGCATCAGTTTTAAGTATTTCAGCCTAATTCCATGTAAAGGGATTGGGTCAAGCAGACCAGGGCCAAAATTTGAACTACATCAAGAGTGATTTTTATCTTTAGGGAGTGGCCTTTGTTTTCCCCAGTAAACTCACTGGTTGCTGAGCAACAAAATATTTTAAATGTAAGACCATGCTATTGTACAAGAGGAAGGCAGCCAGCCAGCAGAGGGAGCGCCAGGAGATGAGCAGAGCTTTTTCCCCTGCGAGTTGCGGAAACCCTGTTGCATTGCATTTCACCTCCCACAGTGAAATAATAAACACATTGTTCTGTAATGTAAATAAAATTGGGGAAAATTAATGATTAGCTAAATGAAAAACACTTTTTTCAAACAACACCACAACCAGAATGTCACACTACACAATTGAACAAAAAACAGAACAGGGGAAAAAACTCCCATGGATATTTGCCAAATTTTTATTTATATTTATTTTATATATTTACTATACTTATAGTATGAAAATTATGCAGCTGAGTCTCCATGTGAATTCAATGTTGTGGTAAAGCTTTTTTTTCTTTATTATTTCAAAACTTGTAAACAACACGCCGATTATTTTGAAGTTATGTAGATTCCCCAAACTATTTTCTTCACATTCCAAACTTTTTTCCTAAATGTTTGGCTTCTGTAATCAAACTATTTGTTCACAAACTAATATGTGAGTACTGCATTAAAAAGTGATTTTACAGTTTATATACATTTGTCCAACTCTATAGAAATTTTGATGATAGGAAGAAAGGGTGTTGGATAACTTGCATATTGTTGAATAATATAATCAAATACATTGGTTACATTAGATCTAGCAAAATAATTCTGCTTGTGACTACATATATATATAGCCCTTGAAGAGAAATGTCATGCCAAGAATTTCTAGCAGAGCTAGAAAGCGGCCTTGGTTTATGTAAACATAATCATTG